GGGAATACAGTCCATACTACTGTAGTGAGTATGTATAGTTTCAGATGGGTGGGTGCTTGAAATATTGAGAGACCACTCTGTAAAGTATATAACTGTGTAATTACAATGCTGTGCGCCTGAAACTAATGCAAATAAACACCGAACGTAAATTGCAATTGAAAAACAAAATTTAAAGAATAAATGAAAAGATAGTCTCAGCAATTCAAAGTTCCTTAAGTGGTCATGTAATTCTATTTGTTTTACCCGAGGTAGAGAGGTACCGGCATTTTGGCTTCTCCGGGCGATTGTATTTAAAAGTAGGTCTATTCACCAGCAGTTAGGGTCTTCCCGCCGGTGGGGCAGTGAGCTGTGCGAGGAATACAAAACTGGAAGTCTCAGGGGCCTCCGAGGGAAGGGCGAAGGCTGGTGGATCCCTACACTGGCGAGCAGGACTGCCCCAGATCGAGAATTAAGTACAGTCTTCTCTTTCTGTTTATAAGCACTGAAATGAGAACTACACTGGCCCACAGACTGCTCCAAACTCAACCCAAAGAGAGGGCGGCGGGAGGCGGGCGGCCTCCGCTCCGCGCCTTTGTCGACAGTCGCCGCCCCGCGCCTTCCCCGGCCGGATTTCAGGTACCGGTCCTGGGCGAAGGGACTCAGGGCTGGGCCGCGGAGGCGCCCGAGGACCACACTGGGGCTCCCGGCCCGCCGGGAGGCTCGCAGGACCGGGGCGGGCCAGGCCGGCCCGGGCACGGAGGGGCGCGGTGGGGGCGCGCCGGGCGGCGAACGCGTCGCGGCCTCACCTTGGACACCATCTTCTTGAGCTGAATCTCCGACACCGCCATGGCGGCCACCTCGCGGCTCCGTCCCGCAGGCAGAGGGTCAGCCGCTCCGGGGCCGCCCAGGCCGCCCCACACAACCGCTCACCGAGTAGCCAGTCCCCGCCCCCCGCCTCTAGCAACAGGAAGTCGGCCGCCACGACCGACCTTCCGCTTCCTTTACGTCACTTCCGAGGTCACCACTGAAGCGGGGTTGGTTCCCACCCACCCGCTGCTCAGGCGCGGTACTCCGTAGGCCCGGTCCGGTCCCAGCGCTGAGGCCAGCTTGTTTCGAGGGACGAAACTCTGAGCTGGGACAAGATGGGCAGGTGTTTCACAGTTGCCCTCAGACTAGGGGAGCAGGTGCGGGGAGGGGAAGAAATACTGCGAAGGTCTTGCCAATGAGCTTGAAGACTGATTCATCAAAAGGGAGAGCACCGGCCTGAGTGGGAGTCCGAAAACCCAGTGACTTGCCTTTGTGATACTAGCAAGCAAATGCACTTCTATCTCGGGCTGAAGTTTTTAAACAATTCTAAGAGGAGAGGCTTGCAATATTTGGTGCCCAGGGTCTCTCTGATTATCAGTTTCTTTTGTTTGTTTGAAGCTTATAAGTTCGTAATACTACATTAACAGGGACAAAATGCAGATCCCTCCTTTATTTCTTCTTTAGGAAACCATCCACCTGAGTCAGAACTTCTCTGTGGCCAGGCATAAACAATAATACAGGCTGCATTCTACCTTGCACTAGGTTTGTGTACTAGCCTGAGCACTGCCAGAGCCCAAGTCTGAGGGCAGGCTCATCTTCAGATCCTCATTGCCTTGCAGAGCACAAGAGTAGTTGATCTTAACTGAATTTCTGCTACCCGTAAAAGTTCTTTATAGCCATTTATATTAGTCACTGCATATCACTACCAGTTTTATAAGTACAGTGGTATTCAAGGTATTGTAAAACTTGATTTTGATGTATGGTAATCTGGATGATTTTATCTACTGCTAATGAGAACAGGCTGTGATACTAATTTCCTTCTAAATTGGCATCCAAGTGAAGGTCACATAGGCAAAGAGGGCGTAATTGAAACCATGTGGAAGCATCATTATAAATTGTTGCACGCACACACAAATAAAAAGTATATTGTTCTTTTTAAATATGGACACCATATGTTAGTAAAGCATACCGCTCCAAACAAAACTATAAGGCAGCCTATCTTGCCACTGCACCTCTTTAATGTCACTTAAAAGCAATGTGGTTTTCAAACTGTTCTTAAAGCCAAAGGTTACTCAGGAGTACCTTCACTTGAAGCAACTCTACTTTTATCAATTGGAGGAGTGTAGGTAATATATTGTGTAAAAAGTTTTCTTGCTAAAAATAATGTTTTAGCCCAGCCGGTGTGGCTCAGTGAGTGTCTACTCATGCACCAAGAGGTCACCAGTTCAACTCCCTGTCGGGCACATGTCCAGGTTGTGGGCCAAATCCCTAGTGAAGGGGCATGCAGGAGGCGGCCACTCGTTGTTTTCTCTTATCAATATTTCTCTCTCTCTCTCTCCCTTCCTTTCTCTCTAAAAATCAATAAAGAAAAAAAAATTTTTAATGTAATTTTTATTTTCTTTATTTTTATTTACATTTACTTCCCCTCCTCCAAGCCAGCCTCTCTTACAAACATGTGATAAATGAGAAAAAAGGCAACAGACTTATTAGTATGGGACTGAGTATATAGCTATGTCCATGAACTCATCGGTTTTCATGTTTTCTTTTCATGAAGTGCATTCTTTGTCGGGTTGTCCAAAACTGAAAAGTAAGTGGTTAAATATAATTTTATAAAGTTTGAAAATAATGAACAAAATCCAGTCTCTTCATTTTACACTAAACCACTTAAAATGAAATAACTAAATATCTTGGGGACCATAGAATTATATGAAATAATCTTTCTCCTCAATCTGAATAAATTTGCTTCCACTCAATAAATTAGACGCGATGATTTTAAAGTCAAAGTTTATTTTTTCACTATTTTTGATATTCAAGGAAAACCACAATGTAAAACTAAAAAATAAAATATTTATTTCTGCTATAATGCCAAAGAATCATTTTAATCAAAGCCCCACTAAAAATCATAACAAGAGACACTGCATGATTTTGGAAAAATAAAAAGTGAAACTTGGCAGCAGCATCATGAATGTCAAATTATATCATAGTGAGCTGGTGGTGGTACCACTTCTTGACCTGTATATGGAATTTACAACATGATTAATAATATTCAACACTCAAGGAATTACTTCTAAATTGTGGGCTTCTAAAAGGCAAGGGCTGTTACTCATCTCTGATTACTCGAATTCAAACACAGTACTTGGAATAATAGTAGGTGCTCAATAAGTATTTGTTGTATTGACATGTTTCTTCTATAATTAATGTAGTGAATTCTTCGCAATTCATCTTTAATACAGTATCTTGTAGTTAAGTTATTGTTTAAGAGCATATTAGTAAAAGTTATCTAATTTCTCATTAGATATCTGATATTAGAAAAGGCTAGTTGTGTTTCTAAAAAACAAAAGAATCATTCTTTCAGTTTTACTTTCATATTTCATACAAATGGGCAATGAGAATACATCATTAGAGCACCAAAATAATCTACTCACTTAGTGTACTTACACAGAACTAATGCTCACTTCTTCAAATGTCCAAGGTTTTTATACCAGTTAACTCCAGTGGGAATCTTTCCAAGCATGTTAAATAGTTTCCTACTTTCTTAAACATGGGATACTGAATATAATTTCACCTTTTATATTTAAGCTCATTGCAAGCATCCATTATTGTACTAACTCAGCATTAGTTTGATTGTTTCTTGTCTATTTAGGATGTATCTGCCCTTATAAACCATTGGGCTCCTATCTCTGACCAGGTTTGGATTTACTTATGTTATGCTGCCAAAGCACCTGAACTTCTTCACAGTACTTAATACATTTTCTTTCTTTCTTTCTTTCTTTCTTTCTTTCTTTCTTTCTTTCTTTCTTTCTTTCTTTCTTTCTTTCTTTCTTTCTCTTTCTTTCTTTCTCTCTCTCTCTCTCTTTCTTTCTTTCTTTTCTCTCTCTCTCTCTTTTTTATCCTCACTCAAGGATGGAAGAGAGAGAGAGAGAGAGAGAGAGAAACATTGATGTGAAAGGGACACATTGAGTGGCCGCCTCTGCACGACCCAACCAGGGCCGGGGACAAACTGCAACCGAGGTACGTGCCCCTAGTGGAACTGAACCCAGGTCCCTCTGGACCACAGGCCGATGCTCTAACCACTGAGCCAAATCAGCCAGGGCACATTTTCAATTGTATATTTATTTGTGACATTTGATTACTAGGCATTCCATACGAGATCATATGGACCATAAGGGCTTGTACCTAGCCCAGGTTTGCTCACCACTGTATCTGCAGTGCCTAAAATGCAGTGCCTGTTGTATAGTAGTCTCCCAGGCAATACTGCCTGAGTAACCAAATAAATAAACACCTCTGTGCATACCCCTCCTCTGTTGTTTGCTGAGGGCGAGTCTGGGAAGTCAGGGAATCAATCTTTCTAAAAACTATGTTGGGGGAAAAAAAGCTCCTACATGAGAATGGAAGAGTACAGAACCCCAGCTTTAGGGTCCTGTGGGGACTATTTTGGCTATTAGGCCTTTTCTCTCCTCTAGTACTTAGAAAAAGATAAGTACCCTTTAACCATGAGATTTTGGTGATGAAAGCTCGGTTTCCTCCTCTATAAAATGATGATGATAATAGTCCCTATTTCAATGAATCACTGAGGATTCAATAAAATAATAAAGAGCTCATCACACTGCCTGAAACATAAGAAGTGTTGATGTTAGTTGTTACTATTAGCTGCAAGCCATATAGTAATAATATGCAATCTTTCACATATGAAGATATTGTTACTGAACCATCACCAAAGCATATGTACTCTGGTCACTTCTTTAGGAGTCATTAAAGGATCTCAGAATAATCAGTCCATCCAACCTCTCTCCCTTAAAACCAGTGGTTTTTATGAAAGCCTCATATTTTAGCTTTTTCAAAATTCTCACCCGAGGATATTTTCCATTTATCTTCAGACAGAGTGGGAGGGAGGGAGAGAGAGAGAAAACATTGATGTGAGAGAGACAGATTGACTGGTTGCCTCCCTCATGACCCCAACCAAGGCCAGGAACTGAACCACAACTGAGGTATATGCCCTGGACTGGAACCGAACCCTCGACTCTTTGGTCCTCAGGCCAACGCTTTAACTGCTTGGCCAAACCGGCCAGAGCCATATTTTAGCTTTAAAAGTAGACTGCTTGGCTTCCCTTCACAATCTATTTTCACTGAAAATACACATTTCTCTATGATTCTACTAATATTACAGTGAGTTTATGAGATGTTAGAGACCTGATATAGCCCAGAAAGAGGTTATAGAAAATTTCAAAAATGACAGTTCCACTGGAAGTTAAACTATAACTTTTCTTCATATATTAAAAAATTTCACTTTCCCTTTTACTATTTTAAAGTACATGTAAAATTATTTTCCATTTTTTGGTAGCCTAATTAATTGAAGAGGGAAAACAAAATGCTTTATTACCATTACTACCAACTGGATTTTAAAGAAACATTAATACCTTAAACTGTGGATCCTTTGTATACCTAGCACAGATTTTATAAATCCATACTGGGCCTTTAGCTTACATGTTTACTATAACAGTCAACGAGTAATTTTCTTCTAAAAACATATTACTTTACAATATTTCTAAAACACCGAATGTGCTTTTAGTTGAGGATACATACTTTTACATGAGGCATATTACAGATAAAGTTTATCTCTGTGATAGGTTTAAAGAACGACACCGATATCTAGACTTTTTTCCCTCCTTATCTAATTCCCTAAGAATTCAAATTACAAAACTAATCAAGAAACTACCCTAACCAAGCAGTTTGTGAGGGTAAGTAATAAGATACAAAAGTTCTCAACCTTAGATATGTTGGCAAAATTAAATGACCTTTCCTTTCAGGTAGCTCTGAATTTGAGACTCAAAGTTTTAACTGTTGTTGAAGACCATGGAGTGATGATGCGCTGCTCTGGAGTTTCTCGGTCACTGGGTCTTCTTTCACTGTGCTTTTGATGACTTCAGATACCCCATTGGTTCCAAGGATGCAAGGCAAACTTAAAAATACTTCACTGTTTATATCGTAATATCCCTGGAATGAATAAAATTATAAGAGATGAATCACTTCGAACAAGTTACTATAAAAAATATGGTTATTTTCTTGCGTTTATAGCCCTAGCATTACAAAGTGATACAGCTGAACTTTATAAAAAAAATTTTTGTTCATTTATTTTCTCAACTCAAGTTATTGTTTCAGAAATGTTTTGTGAGATGGGAAGAACTTGGTCAAAGATAGCCCCTTTATGGGAAGGGAAGCTAGCCCCCTGCAATATGGGTAGCAGACTGGGGGCTAAGAAAATGACTGTCAGAGTAAATTCCCAGGGGAGGGGCACAGCCTAGGCTCTGAGTGCAAATACAATAACCTGTTTTAAGTTTTCCTTTCCATGTTTTATTTCTCCTGGTATTCCTAAGTTTCCAAGAAAAAATTGGTTAAGCATTTGTGCCTAGTCTTAGCTGTGCTTTAGGGACTTTATGCTTGAGATTAAGTGGTAAAGGATACACTGAACTGGAGAGTGCAAACTCATGACCAGCTAAGACCAGGTGGCACATCAGTCTGGGGTGACCTGGCTGACTAAGGTGGTAAATGACCACCAGGAGAGTTTGTCATTGGAATATATAATATTTCTTGAGAGTTCCCCCAAATTACAGAGGAGTAAGGAGAAATGTAGAAGTCCAGAATTTCCACCGCCAAGATGAATAGGGCTTAGACCGAACTGTCTCCTCCCATGTGTTTACTCTAAAAGCTGGTAATATTGAAGACACCAGGTTACAGTGTGAATAGCACCTTTTCTGATTTTATACTAATATAAAAGTTTAAAAATATGATGAGAGCCCTGGCCGGTTTGGCTCAGCGGTTGGAGCATCGGCCTGCAGACCAGAGAGTCCTGGGTTCAGTTTCTGCTAGGGGCACGTACCAAAAAAACAAAAAACCCAAAAAATATGATGAGAGAATGAGAATAGGAATTACCTTTGCTAAAATTGATACAGAATGCACTTTCTTTTTATTATTTACAAGACTGTCAACCAGGTCAGCTACTGATAGTCCAACAGACCAGGACCTTTGACCTTTTATCCTTAATAGTTCCATGGCTCTAGGTTACAAAAAACAAAACAAAACAACAACAAAATCAAAACCAAAATTAATTCAGAAAATGAATAAAACTAAAATGCATTTAGTTTTACCTTCTGTTTAAAATATTAATTATATATTTTTATAACACAGAGATAAGAGTTATACAGTAATTGTTAGGAAAACCTACAGATAAACTAATGATTAAGGTTTTCTTAAAATGTCTGAAAGGCAGTTCACAGAGGGACAATAACATAAAAAGATATTCACCATCACCACTATTAACTAAATATGAGTCAAAACAATAAATACACCAGTTTGCCTATCAAAATTGGCAAATATTAGAGAGATTTGTAACTAGTTTTAGAGAAGCTACAGAGAAACACGCATTTCTATAACAGCTGGTGAGAGCGTAAAGTGATGCAGTCTTTTAGGACAAAGATTTGGCAACATCTGATCTAGAAATCCTTCTTAGGAATTTGTCCTACAGCAGTATGCTCAAGTGTGCAAAGATATACATATAATAATATTTTCTTGCCTTGCTTGAGACAGAAAAAAAATTTGGAAGCAGTTAATCAAAAGTGACTCATTAAATAAATCACTACCCAATGTAGTGCATGAGAATAATAAAGTAGATTTATGTGGACAATATGGAAAATGTCCAAGATTTAATATTAAGGAAACAAAGCAAGTTGCAAGATAATATGAGTAACATTAATCTATTATTATAAAAATAATAAAAAACAGCCCTGGCCAGTTTCTCAGTGGTTAGAGCATCGGCCTGCGAACCAGAGAGTCCTGGGTTCAGTTTCTGTAAGGGCATGTACCTCGGTTGCAGTTTGTCCCCGGCCCCGGTTGGGGTCGTGTGGGTGGCAACCACTCGATGTGTCTCTCTCACATCAATGTTTCTCTCTGTCTCTTCCTCCATCTCTCCCTCCAGCTCTATCTGAAGATAAATGTAAAAATGTCCTCAAGTGAGGATTAAAAAATAATAATAATAATAATAGTAAACAATTATGTTTGCAGAAGCATTAAAAAAAGTATTTGAACAGTGGGCACTAAACTGTTAACAGTGGTTGCTTCTAGAGAATAAATTACCCCAGCTTTTCACTTGCTACTTTATAGATAGCTGCAGTATTTAAAAGTTTCTAAATAGTATATATTGTTTTTTTAACTAATACAAAAATGATATAAATTTTAAAAACATGTTTGAATTTCTTCCTTTTAAAATTTATACATGCAGGGTTATGTAAATAATTAGGTTAGAATGGATTGTACAACATGCTCCTCTTATCAATAAGAGAATCTTCTTTCCAGTTAAAAACCATATGCTGAAGGTTTAAAAAACTAAAAATCTTCACCACTCAGACCACAGGGAAGTATGTCATATGTGATGGTGAAACAACAAATGACAAGAAAATATATGTAGAGTCCAACCTACAGGCTCCATACCCCCAAAAGGCCTCTGAATAAAGCAACAGATACTACAAGGATCTGTGCATTACACTTTGTTTTTGCCTGCTCTTATAATATGGATTATCTGTTCATGTTAGACTAGTTTCTTAATGTATTTATGTGTGATTTATAAATCCATGTTAATTTTAAAGTGGTATGGAGATATTTTCTTCTACATTTAAGAAAATTCTCTCGCCCTGGCCAGTTTGGCTCAGCGGTTAGAGCGTCGGCCTGCGGTCCGGAGAGACCCGGGTTCGGTTCCCGCTAAGGGCACGTACTTCGGTTGCAGTTTGTCCCCGGCCCTGGTTGGTCGTGCGGGTGGCAGCCACTCGATGTGTCCCTTCACGTCGATGTTTCTCTCTCTCTCTCCCTTCCTCTCTCTCCCTCCCACTCTATCTGTACCAAAAAAAAAGAAAAATATCCTCGGGTGAGGATAAAAAAAAAAAAAAGAAAAAAAAAGAAAATTCTCAATATCCTCGGAAACATATAGAGCAGTAAAATCACTGTTGTCAAATCAGAAACCTATTCTACCCTTTCTTTTTAATTAAAATATTTTTTATTATTTTGTTACAGATGTTTCTCCTTTTCCCCTAATTGACACCCTCCTCCCAATCCCCCCCAACCCTGCCCCATCCCCAGCATTGTTGTCTATATCCATGGTTACACATACATGCATATAAGTTCTGTGGTTTATCTCTTCCCTCCTCCCCCCACCCTTTCTTTCTTTCTTTCTTTCTTTTTTTCTTTATTGATTTTAGAGAGAATGGAAGGGAGAGGGAGAGAGAGATAGAAACATGGATGAGAGAGAACACTGATTGGCTGCCTCCTGCATACCCCCCACTGGGGACTGGGCCCACAACCTGGGCATGTGCCCTGACCGGGAATTGAACTGGCGACCTCTTAGTGCATGAGTTGATGCTCAACCACTGAGCCACACCGACCGGGCTCTACCCTTTCTTTAAATGTCAACTCTATATCTGAAATAAAGTTAGCAAAGCACTCTTAGATCCACTCTGAGGTAAGAAATCAAAGAACAGAAAACAATGGTCTCTTGTACTTTTGGATTTGTCCATACTAGGTCGTTTTGTCTGCAGGAGCCTGGTACGTACATGATGTGTAAATAGCTCTTACGTTAGCAATGAAGGACATGATTGTTAGTTGGATAAATGCAAATTTATACTCAGTGTTACCTGTTGGACAGCTGCACCTGAGAATTATGACTCATTACTTCTTCTTGGCCACCCCATTTGGTAACTAAAAAGTAAATGGAAAATTAATTGTATTTTGTCAATAACTCTCTTAGGATTAAGATGTGATAAATGATTGTTTGCAGTCAAGGCACCTGTATTAAACATTACAACCCCCCCCCCCGCCCCCTTTTAGCAATAGTTACATTTTTCACTGATGACACTAAATGTGCTATACCAACTGCTTGGGATAAGGCTTTGAGATGCAATCCCCAAAACACATGATCCCCAAAGTCTACTTCCTTACCTGATCTCTCTCATCAATAATAGTTCTACCTTGGTCATTTTACTGTCCAAGTAGAATATTTTCTTTCCTCAGCAGGCTGTGAATAATAGGTTCTCAAGTACTGCAAACACTTGGCATTTGTTCTGCTGGGAACCACCCAGACTAATTTCTTTCACCAGGTGAGGAATAATTTGGTTACCTATTCTGGACTAGATTTCCACAGCGGTTAGGCGAGGTCCTGTTTTCTAAGTACATCTTTGGTGGTACTCATTTCCTCTACTACACTAATTATAAACAATTCAAAATTCATTTCTTTTTTTTAAAGTTAGCATTTATTTTATTATTTTATTTTTTGTTAATCCTTACTGAAGGATATTTTTCCATTGATTGTTAGAGAGTGGAAAAAAGGGAGAGAGAGAGAGAGAGAGAAGCATCGATGTGAGACACACACGTTTTTTTGTTTGTTTGTTTTATTCTCACCCGAGGACATTTTTCCATTTTTTGTTCAGATAGAGTGGGAGGGAAAGAGAGGAAGAGAGAGAGAGAAATATCGACGTGAAAGGGACACATCAAGTAGCTGCCTCCCGCACGACCCAACCTGGGCCGGGGACAAACCGCAACCAAGGTACGTGCCCTTAATGGGAACCGAACCTAGGTCTTTCTGGACTGCGGGCTGATGTTCTAACCACTGAGCAAAACTGGCTGGGGCTTTTGAAACCTTTCTTATAGTCTGTTTCTCATCTGTGTGAAGACATTCTTTGATACAAATCTTTATTTGAGTAAACAAAACTAAAGTACATTCAGATGTAGAAGACTATCTTATGTTTAAAATTCAAGTCTTCTAAACTGCATTCAAAATTAGACCATTTAAGTGATGTGTCAGTAACAAAGGACACCGTGTACATCCAAATGCCTCCCTTCTCAAACTGATTATAAGCTTCCAGGGGGGCAGGGATATTGTGTTCTTTTGTGTCCTCTCACACATACTCTTTACCATGGTAAAGAATGCGCAGGCCTGGCCAGTGTGCCTCAGTGGTTGAGCATTGACCCATGCACCCAGAGGTTGCCGGTTTGATTCCTGGTCAGGGCACATGCCCAGGTTGTGGGCCCAATCCCCTGTGAGGGGCATGCAGGAGGCAGCCAATTGATGTTCTCTCTCATCAATGTTTCTATCTCTCGCTCTCAAAAATCAATAAAGAAAAAAATAAAAATGAAAAATTTTTTAAAAAGAATGCTCAGAAGATAATACAGAACTGACCTCGAACACAATCCATAACTATATTTTTTAACAAAGAGGAAAACATGGGAAAGTTTTTATGTTAAGTAAAAAAAAAAAAAGCAAAACTAGATTGTTTTATGCAAATGTAAGTACATGTGGACAGATTGAGGGATTTTTATTATTATTATTTTTTATTTTCTATTTTCAAGAGAGAGGAAGGGAGAGGGAGAGAGAGATAGAAATATTGATGAGAGAGAACATAGACTGGTCGCCTCCTGCATGTCCTGCACTAGGGATCTGGCCCACTACCTGGGCATGTGTCCTGACTGGGAATCGAACCGGTGACATCTTGGTGTGTGGGTCGATGCTCAACCACTGAGCCACACCAGCTGGACAGATTGAGGGATTTAAAAAACTATTAAAAACTAGAAGGATTGTACATGAATTCTTTTCTAGAAAAATATTGGTATATTATTAGTATATTAACAATAAATAGAAAATTACAGGAAACTGTCTTTTGAACAAAATGCAGCACTTACATACCTTGGAAAGGTGAATAAAAGAGGCAAAGTAGGTATAAAAAAGACAACAAAACATCTGGAAATTATTTATGATTATTACTGCCATTATATGTTACACAATGATCATATTCTTTCTCTCGGAATCCTGACTTGTAAGAGCCATGCGAAAAAAACATTTGGAAAGAGGGAGAAAGTTTCACTATGTTCACAGTTGCTTGTGACACAGTCATCAGAAGTTTTAATTACATTTAGATGGACTTAATTATTTCATTTTTTGTTCATTTACTGCCCAGCCCTTCAAATTTCCTAAATGTAAATCCATGCTAGTTTAGAGAGCCCTTTCAAATATTGTATCTAATATCAATCCTAATCTTTCTGGTTCCACTCCTCAAGAACAGTAATCCTCTGGACCCTAAAATTTGAATGAGAAATGACCATGGGATAGCACTTTTCTATTACTATAACACCTAACCCTTTGGTAAGACTGATGCCCAAAGTAGAGAATCTAACATTCTGTTCTGAGGTCCAGCCTTGGATTTCTAAGACACCATTTAAAGGAGTTACCTGCAATTTATATATAATTTCAATATCACAGCAGAAAATAACAGCTCCAAAACTCATGTTTTGCCAACTATCTAATGTGGTGGAGCATAATATGAATGACCTTTGGTCACAAGATAGTGTCAGGATTATTCATTCATCACAAAACACATTTACTGAGACCATTCCAAGGAGCTTAAAGTCTGGTGGGGTAAACAGACAGGTAAATATGCAGTTATAACACAGTGTGATAATGTTTATAGTAGAGGCTTACATTTACTTAATCTGAATAATTAGGGAAGACTTCCTTGAAGGGACGGCACTCAAGCCCAGTCTTGAAGGGTAAGTAGAAGTTAGCCAAGTGAATGAATGTTCAGGGGAAGGAAGCATCAGGTGTAAAGGCAAGGAGGCATGAGAGCCCATGAACCATTCAGGAAACTGCAAGTTGACCATCTGATTAGCATAGAATGCCTGGCAGAATGGGAGAAAATGAAGCTGAGGAAGGAAGCAGGAAACAGATCCGAAAGATCTGTATGTCATGTGATTTCTCCCCTAAGCTGTAGTTATAATTTGTCTCTGAAACAGTTGAAGAGAATCATTTTACTTACAAACCTGCTATTATTATATTTTCAAATCCTATGTTGCTTTACTTCAAAGCATAGTTTTACATGCTCTTTTGCCAAAATTTTATTCATAACCATCTTGCTGATGACTATAATAACAGCTACCATTTACTGAGTGTTTGCTTGGTGCCAGACACTGTACTAAATGCTTTAGATAAGTTATCTAATTAAGTCACAGCAAGAAAAGCACAGCTTTGGAGTCAAGCAGGGTTCAAACCTCAGTTCTGCCCTTATTAGACGTGTAACCACAAACAAATTAGTTAACCTGAGTTTTAAGCTTCCTCTTTTATTAATTTGGAAAACCATCTACATCATTCTCAGGGTGAGATATGAAAACCGTTTAATATACATAGTAGCCACTCAATAAAAGATAATTATAATCGCTACCACTGTGGTAGTATCACTCATACAAGAATATAACCAATTGGTATCTACTGAAAAAACCAGCAGAGGGAGCCTCTAATCCATTTTTGGCTTCAGGGCCAACCAAGCTAAGTATACCAATCAACTGATTAACTCTCTCTGAAACAAAGTAGAAGACAGGATAAAAAGTGATCTGACAGTGGTAGCTAAATAAGTGGAAGACAGGGAGACAGGTTGCAGAATACAAAGGTGGCTTTAGTGGTATCGGTACTGTTCTTAATAATTGAGTGTGGATTCATGAATGTTTATTCTATTATATTTTAAAACATACATATACATTACATTATATGTATTCTTTTACATGTGTCAAATATTACATATTATACTTAAGAGATCCCAATTCACAAGCACCTACATCCCTCTATTTCTAGTTCCCACTGGAGAGCTGAGGACAGAATTACCATATCCTTCCTTGTGCTTTTATCCTAGTATCCTTGAACCTCTCTCATACCAAGTCAACACTGCTTTTTATTATAGTCATTTCCTGTATTAGATTCTAAGCTTCCTATAAAACAGGGTCAGATTATAATACATATCTATAGTTCTAACAGCAGGCAGCACAGTGCCTTAGGTTTACTTATTGTCATACAATCCTTTATTTTCTCTTTATGATCTGTGATATTAATACAACCACATTGTTCTAATTATTAAAAAACTGTAACTTATTAGGGGGACTGGTTAAATAAATTTTGGTATATCTAGTAGTTAAAAAGAATAATATATATATATTATATATATACATATATAACTTCCAAGTCATATCAATAAGTAAAAGGGCAAGGTAGAAAATAATATATGATGTATTTTTCATACATGTGCTTGCCTATGCACAGAACATTTCTGTAAGGTTACACAGGAAACCGGTAACTGTGATTGCTTCCAGAGAAAGGAGACTGACTGGGTGTCTGGCTAAGAAAGAAGACTTTTTTTCATTGTATATCTTTTTGTACTATTTAATTTTTTTGTGATGTGAATGTATGACTTTTTCAAGTAGAAGAACAGCTTAATAATTTATACTTTTACTTTTTTTTTATTTTAAAACTTTTTTTTTTTTTTATCCTCACCCGAGGACATTTTTCCATTTTTTGTTCAGGTAGAGTGGGAGGGAGAGAGAGGAACAGAGAGAGAGAGAGAGAAACATCGATGTGAAAAGAACACATCGAGTGGCTGCCACCCGCACAACCGACCAGGGCCGGGGACAAACTGCAACCGAGGTATGTGCCCTTAGCGGAAACCGAACCCGGGTCTCTCAGAACTGCAGGCCGACGCTCTAACCGCTGAGCCAAACCAGCCAGGGCAGAGATCTTTCTTTCTTACAGCTGCATAGTAAGGACTTTATTTTTTTGTTTATTGATTTTAGAGAGAGAGGAAGGAAAAGGAAGAGAGAGATAGAAACATCAATGAAAGAGAACATCAACTGGTTACCTCCTGCATAACCACCACTGGGGATTTGGCCCACAACCTGGGCATGTGCCCTGACTGGAAATGGAACCATCTGACCTATTGGTGCATGGGTTGATGCTAGCCACACTGGCTGGGCCAACCAAAGGAATTTGATGGTTTGATCAGAGGAAGCCAGTGAAAGGTTTTTTTTAAATATGTTTTTATTGATTTTTTTTTTTTTTTTTTTTTAAGCGAGAGATGGAAGGGAGAGAGAGAAACATTGATGTGAGAAACATTGATCAGATGCCTCCTGCACGCCCCCTGCTGGGGATCAAGCCTGCAACCTGAGCATGTGCCCTGACTGGGAATCAAACCCAGGACATCTCAGTCCATGGGACAATGCTCAATTCACTGAGCCACACTGGCTGGGCCAGCGAAAGTTTTTGAAAAAAGAAGTATGATTTAGGAAGATAAGTAACTGCAATTTTGTTTTCCAATGGTCTTAGGGGACCCCTGTGAAAAGGTCGTTCGACCCCCAAAGGGGTCGTGACCCACAGGTTGAGAACCGCTGCCCTAGACATTCAGTACTCTAAAACATCTGCTCCAAGTTCTTGTTCACTACCCTTTTCTAGGGTCCTGTTGACTAGTGCTTGGTTTTAGCATTTTGAACCTGAAAAGTATTTCTGCTTGAATTATACTGTCAGGTTTTGTAAAGGTTTATTTTATAGCCTGACTCCTTTTGGCATTGAACTTTCTAGGTAGCCAGTGCAGATTTATACAGATTTAAAATACTACTGTATTTCATTAAAATAATTTTCTTAAAAATAGTACATATCCATAATAACAAACCGAAAAAACAGAAAAGTACAAATTTTTTAAAGTTACCTCTATCCCAGACATAAGTTTTCAGTATTTGTCATCAAAGCATATAGGAAGCTTTACATTTTAAGAAAATAACTTTGAGGAAATATAAAACCTGACTAAAGTCTTGACTAATTGTAAACTGTCAGAAAAGTAAGTAGATTAGAATAACATGTTTCAGGAGTCTATTCACAGCACAGGACATGTTACACAGAAGGCACTTAAAAGTGGAACAAAAACCACCAACTAAACTCTACAATTTGTGAGTCTCCATATATCTGAGTATCATGACCACTCGTGATTTAGGTTATCAATATAACTAGTAAAAATATATTTCTTACCTTTGTCTTCTCCCTGCTCACCAATAACCCATACTTGTTTTCCTGAAGTCTGTGCCTTCAAAACATTTGTAATAATATACTGTAACCTCTGTGAATCCAGATTGCATCCAATTCCAATCACTCGATTTGCAGGAAAGGCACTCAGTTTCCATGTCACGTAGGTCATAATTTCCACTAAATATTACACACAAAGTACAAATGTAAAGATTTTTAAAAATATACTTCTAGACTGGTTCATAAATATTTATCATTTAAAATAAATAAAAAAATTTCCTTTATTCATTTTAGAAAGAGAGGAAGGGAGAGGGAGAGATAGAAACATCGATGAGAGAGAACACTGACTGGCCGCCTCCTGCATGCCCCCCCTCTGGGGATTGGGCCCATATCCTGGGCATGTGTCCTGACCAGGAATCGAACCAGCGACCTCTTAGTGCATGGGTCGATGCTCAACCACTGAGCCACACCAGCCGGACAATATTTATTATTTTAATAAGTATACTAGAACTTGTAAATATTCTTCTTAGGTCCTAAATGTACTATAAAGCATACTATAGTTCTAATGTATATTGAAAACATGAACTAGGTTTCAGCATAATTTAACATAACTTTGTTGCTAAATATAAATTGTTACGAGTAGAAAATAATTTCCTAGAATAGTTAAGCAAGAAGGATAAAAACAGATACAGAAAACCAGAAGATAATTTTTTTTCATTGATCAAGTTCTCTTATATCTATCTTAACCTGAATTTCTATCTTTAAAATAAAATACCGATTCATGTACCATCACTATGCAGTAACAGGATTATGAATAAAAACACAACTACTTTTTTCTTACATGCCAAAGGATGTCAGGAATTAAAGAGATCAGTGCCTCTCAACCAATTACTATAGGAAAACAAGTGAAATGTATCCCATTCTCCTGTACTGGGAACATGTAAAAAAAAAAAATCTCTTCACCAATTTGAGTCCAGTATTACACCTAACTCTTTAAAAATATTTTCTTTTTAGGTAAAACAGTTTCAAACAAATTAAAATAAAAAATGTTAAAAATGTACTCTGGCGTGCTCACTAACATTTTATGACACTTCAGAATTAACAAAAGATCTTTCACATAAGCCGCTACATTTTTCTCTTGGGGATTTAACCATTTTCTCAGAAGAAAGCATAGCTAACAACCTGGAACATAATAATAGTATTACATAAAAAATTTTAATTTGTAACCTTCTAGTTAATGCCAGTCATAGGAAGTCACTGTATGACAGGATATGGAAATACTATACTGTTCATTATAAGGGCAATTTAACTGAATACTCTAGTTGTCCCTTTATAATCTAGTTTTATGACTTTTATCAGTAATAGCAATTCTATTGATGCACTGGACCATCAAATTAATTTAAAATAAAACCTCTTACCTGGTTGAGATGCAACAAGCAGGACACTGTGTTGACTATATTGCCCCAGGGCTGGGACAAGGGCTCTGAACATATCCACATTTCTCTGTACCACATCAAGGTAGGACTGAGAACTACCCACAGAGTTAATGGTGAAGATGATCACCTTGGAATGAGCAGAGGTAGACAAATCTATTGAATAAAAAGAAACATTTTGAGCTCAAGATATAGGTTTTAATAAAATTTGTGTTCATAGAGACGGTTTTTCTTTTCTTCAAGTAGAGATCTTTTAGGCACACTTGCACCCAGATCAATCTTATCCCCATGGGAAGTATAAAAAGTGCTAAAGTTTGCCACCAGAAAGAGAATTAAGAGCAAAAGTGTATCCTAACTGGGGAAAGAGAGCAATAAAGATAAACCAAATAAATTACAGATTCAGAACCCACAAACAAGGAATTAGTTTTTAGGCAATTCACAATTTTATTAGGAAAAATAAATAATGTGCTACAGGCAAATGAACTTACAATCAATTATATCACTCATTTTTAAACTTTGAGCTTAGGAGTCCTAGAGTCCCTTAAAAGCGATTCAGAGGCCACCCAGGAGGACTGGGGATACGTGAAAAGAAGGCTGGTAGGCATGGCGCCAGGCAATTCACTTTTAGCTTCACTAAGCAGAGTAGTTCTACTTGTATCTGTTTTATTTATTAAAGATTCTACTCCAAAGACGCAAAAAATGGTTTGAAAATCTTTAAATCAAGATGAAACATCTTGGCTCATTTTTTACTGACTTTTTCTTGAAGCCCAGTGTCCTTGGCTTTAGATAATGGAACTTAGTAGGTAAGTAACTGTTTTTGACATAGGAAAAGCTGTTCTCTGGAGGTCACTGCTGACTGGCCAGAGTGGCTCAGTTGGTTGAACATTCTGTGCACTGAAAGGCTGCCAGTTTGATTCTGGTTAGGGCATGTATGGGAGGGAGGCAACTGACTGATGTGTCTCTCACATCAATGTTTCTCTCTCTCTCAGCATGCACTTGGGTGAGGATTAAAAAAAAAAAAAAGACTACTGGTCTTGCCTGGCCCGTGTGGCTCAGTGGACTGAAGAGATCCGGGTTAAATTCCTGGTCAGGGCATGTGCCTGGGTTGCAGGCTCGATCCCCTGTAGGGGGCGTGCAGGAGGCAGCCGATTGATGTATCTCTTTCACACTGATGTTTATATCTCTCCCCATCTCTCTAAAAAAAATCAATAAAGAAAAATTAAAAAAGAAAAAAAAGAACCATTGGTCTTGGAGTTCACTGCTGTAACCCTTGAACATTCATATGCTATTTTACAACATTACTTTTGGTTACATGTGTGCCTTACAGTAAGTACATGCCAAAACAATGTCCAGATATTATCAACATCAAAAACAACAGAAAAATAATAAAGCAACTATAATGGCATCAGTTCAACAGACCTTTGTAAATGAATACCAGCATCCCAGGGAGACAGTGAGTAGATGCCAGAGTTTATAGTCTTAATTAAGCCTCTAAGGCCATCTTTCTAAACAAGTTGCAGAAGGAAACACTTGTGCAATACGTCCACTGGGAAATGCACTACCCAATTTTAGTTCATAATCTAATGCAATTGTTGGGGATGGTAGCTCCAAAAACTGACTCATGGGTTTTAATTATGGTTCTTCATGAGTCCCTTAAGTAATTCCTGTGTTCTAATGTTTGAAATAGATATCTGGTGATGAGTCAAAACCTCAAGAATTTGAAGACAGTAGAACTGGAAGAGATATAGTTAAGGCTTCACTATTACTTTTACATGTCAGGTATTTTTCTAAGAGCTTTCCCTATGTTTACTCATTTAATCTAAGCTACAACACACTATGGGGTTAATATCATCCCCATTAGTCAGGAATAAAGCATAGAGAAGTTAAGTAAGTTGTTCAAAGTCATAGAACTAGTAAGTAGCACAGCTAAAATTTTAAGCCCAGGCAGTATGGCTACAGAGTGTTGTTAAGACTGTGCTGTATTTACAAACTTAGTCCTATACCCTCACACAGATAAGGAAATTGATACCTGGAAAGATTAGGTGGCTTGTCAATATCATTAAATATCAGTGAATGGTTCAACTTAACATCCTATAATTTGGCCCCAACCTACCTTGCCAGGATCATTTCTTTACTTTTCTCCCTTTAGCTTCTTCTACTTTGAATGATAAAAATGCCCTCACCCTCAAGGTTAATTTATGAGTCAACAGAGTAGAAGCTGTCTAATATTTCAAATGTGCAAGAAAGACTTCCTACTCCATATGCTTTCCTATCAAGCTCCTAAGTTCTTTAATTTCTCCATAGACCTGGGATGGATGCTAGGCATCTGTAATTTTAAAAAAGCACCTCAGGTGATTCTGACACAAGTTATTAATCCATAAACTATATTTTAAGAATCACTGGCTATTGAGTAAATTTTACTTTGCTCCATATGTCAACAATAACTTATTTTATTTTTTTGTTAATCCTCATTCAAGGATATTTTTCCACTGATTTTTTAGAGAGAGGGAGGGAGGAAGGAAGAGAGAGAAACATCGATGTGACATTGATTGGTTGCCTCCTGCAAGACCCCAACCGGGGCTGGGGATCAGAATCGAACCCTGCAGGCCGATGCTCTAACTGCTGAGTGAACCAGCTAGGGCAACAACAACTTATTTTTAAATTTACAACTATTGAACAATTTTTTCTCCATGCACATACATGCATATACCTGTACACACAAACATTTATGCTTGCATACACAGAGACTATTTCTGGAGTAAATAAGAAATTGGTAACAAACATGTTTGAAACCCTAGCTCAGCCTCTTACTAACTGTGTGACCTAAGCCACAATCGCTCTGAACCACCTATAAAATAAAGTAAGAGAAATAAAGAAGTTAGTATATATGTAAAGTACCTAGCATATGCTATTATTTTTTTTATCCTCACCCGAGGACATTTTTCCATTTTTTTGTTCAGAGAGAGTGGGAGGGAGAGAGAGGGAGAGAGAGAGAGAGAGAGAGAGAGAGAGAGAGAGAGAGAGAGAAACATCGACGTGGAAGGGACACATCGAGTGGCCGCCTCCCTCACAACCCCAGCCAGGGCCGGGGACAAACTGCAACCGAGGTACGTACCCTTGGAACCAAACCTTGATCTCTCTGGACCGTGGGGCCGATGCTCTAACCGCTTAGCCAAACCGTCCAGGGCCTAGCATATGTTATTGATTCCATAAAATAATGTCAGTTGTTATTATTATTATTATTGGATAAGAGACAAGCATAATAGTGTCCTCAGTCAGAAAATGACATGATCAAAATAATGTCATAGAAGAATTATTCCATAAGCTATGTTTAATATCGAAAAGTGAGAAAATGGAAACAGAAACCCTCATACACTGTTAATGAGAGTATAAATAAGTACAACTTAATAATACAAATTTTAAAAACACATAGCTTTTGACCTAGTACTTTATCCCACTAGTTAGAGACCTACATAAAGATTTTTGCATTACATGTTCTTTGAAGCATTATTTGTAATCACAAAAATACAAATATAAATGTCTATCTACAGGAGACAGACATCCATTTGAAGATGTTCAAATAAACAGATAGAGCTACTTAGATCTATATGTGCTATTAATAATGATCTTCAAAAGGATACTATAAATTCATCAATAACTTAATCACAGGATTGCCATGTAACCCAGCAATTCTACTTCTGGGTATATACCTAAAAGAACTGAAAAAAGGCCCTGGCCGGTTTGGCTCAGCGGTTAGAGCGTCGGCCTGCGGTCCTAATAGACCCGGGTTCGGTTCCCGCTAAGGGCGCGTACCTTGGTTGCAGTTTGTCCCCGGCCCTGGTTGGTCGTGCGGGTGGCAACCACTCGATGTGTCCCTTTCACGTCGATGTTTCTCTCTCTCTCTCTCTCTCCCTCCCCTCTACCTGAACAAAAAATGGAAAAATGTCCTCGGATGAGGATGATAAAAAAAAAAAAAAAAAAGAACTGAAAAAAGGTATTCAAACAAAAATTTGTACATGAATGTTCTAGCAGCACCATTCACATTAGCAAAAAGATACAATCCAGCTCTGGTCAGTTTGCTAAGTGGTTAGAGAGTGTCGGTCCACGGACCAATGAGTCACAGGTTTGATTCTGGTCAAGGGCATGTACCTCGGTTGTGGTTCGGCACGTACCTGGTCGGTTCTGCAGGAGGCAACCAGTTGATGTGTCTCTTTCACGTCATTGATTCTCTCTCTCTCCCTCTCTCTTTCTTGTTCTCTCTCTCCCTCCCTCCCTCTTACTCTATCTGATGATAAATAGAAAAGTATCCTCGGGTAAAGATTAAAAAAAAAAAAGATGCAATCCAAATATCCATCAACCGATGAAAGGATAAATAAAATGCTATATGTCCGTACCATAGAATGTTATTCAGATATAGAAAGTAATGATGTACTGATATATGCTACAATATGAATGAACTTTGAAAATATTATGCTAAGTGAAAGAAGCCAGACATAAATGATTATCAATATTGTATGGTGATATTGAGTCTCTCTCTCATTAGGCTCTTTTCTGCCCTCAATATTTTAATTTACCTTGAGTCTCAAATGGGGCTCTCCTGGGCAGCAGTCAGACTCAATAATCACTAGAGTAGTCTGCATGACTTCTACTTTGTTCCAGAGTGAAAAGAAAGGGGAAAAAAAAAAAAGCCACACCTCTTGGCATGGACTTTTATGGAAACACAGAGTCAAATTTCATGGAAATAAGAGATACCAAGAGAAGACTGTGTTGGTGCCATTTGGCTACACAGACCACTGTGGAAGAGTCTCTGGATGGAGTCTCCATCATCATCAAAAGTGATGGACTACTTCCTGAAACCTTCTGGATAATAAGAAGAGAAGGGGCCCTGGTCGGTTTGGCTCAGCGGTTAGAGCGTCGGCCTGCGGTCCTGAGAGACCCGGGTTCGGTTGCCGCTAAGGGCACGTACCTCGGTTGCAGTTTGTCCCCGGCCCTGGTCGGTTGTGCGGGTGGCAGCCACTCGATGTGTTCCTTTCGCATCGATGTTTCTCTCTCTCTCTCTGTTCCTCTCTCTCCCTCCCACTCTACCTGAACAAAAAAAAAAAAAAAAAAGAAGAGAAGGGGAATGGCTATAAGAGATCTGCAATGTGGAGAGCTTATGGAGGAATACTTTCATGTCTTTGTGATTTTTCCTGATGTTTTAGTTACTGATGGTCACTGGAATGATGAATCCTGTCCAATTTAGTGCTTTAAAATTGAGACCATATGAAAGATTTCTGAAGATGGAGTGCTTCAAAAACTTTTGACATTTCTTCTCTTGGAATTCACAAGCAAGATTTTAAAAAAAATAGCCAAGAGACATATGAAAAAATGCTCAACAACACTAATCATCAGAGAGATGCAAATTAAAACTATGAGGTATCACCTCACACCTGCCAGAATGATCACCATCAACAAATCCTCAAACAACAAGTGCTGTTGAGGGTGTGGAGAAAAGGGAACTCGAGTACACTGCTGGTGGGAATGCAGACTGGTGCAACCACAATGGAAAACAATACGGAATTTCCTAAAAAAATTAAAAATGGAACTGCCATTTGACCCAGTGATCCCACAGCTAGGAATATATCCTAAGAAGCCAACACCAATCAGAAAGAATATATGCACCCCTATGTTTGTAGCAGTGCTATTTATAATAGCTAAGATCTGGAAACAGCCCAACTGTCCATCAGTAGATGAGTGGATAAAAAAGCTGTGGTACATTTACACAATGGAATAGTATGCAGCTAAAGAAAGATCTCTTACTCTTTGAGGCAGCATGGAGGCACCTGGAGAGTATTATGCTAATCGAAATAAGCCAGTCAGAGAAAGGCTAGTATCACATGATCTCACTTATTTTTGGAATCAAATGAACAAAATACACTGATGAACAAAATAGATCCAGAGACATGGAAGTAGGGAATAGACTGATGAACCTTAGAGGGAAAGGGAGTAGGGGTGTGAGGGAAGGGGAGTGGGGATGGGCTACAAGAGATAAAGCAAAGAACTTATATGCATATGTGCATAATCAGTAGACACAAACAATAGTGTGGTGAAGATGGGGGTGGAGTTGGGTGGTAGGAAGGAGGCAGTGAATGGGGGGAAAAAAGGAGGGATATCTATAATACTTTCAACAATAAAGATACATTTAAAAAAATAATAATTTTGTATTTTTCAATTACAGTTGACATACTATCTGATAGTTTCAGGTATACAACCTAGTGATTAGACATTTATATAACTAATGAAATGATTACTCTAATAAATCTAGCACCCATCCGGCACCATACATAATTATCACAATATTACTGACTATATTCCCTATGCCATATTTTACATCCCCATGACTATTTTGTAACTACCAATTTGTGCTTCTTAATCCCTTCACCTCTTTCACCTGCCTCCCTAACCCTCCTCCCCTCTGGCAACTGTCAAAATGTTCTCTGTATATATGAGTCTGTTTCTGTTTTGTTTATTCACTTATTTTGTTCTTTAGATTCTGCATATAAGTGATATGGTATTTGTCTTCTCTGACTTACTTCACTCAGCACAATACCCTCTAGGTTCATCCATGTTGTTGCAAATGGCAAGATCTCATCCTCACAAACAAGTTTTGTTGTTGCTAAATTTCTGTTATGGAGCCACAAAATCACTGCAATCACTTATTTACCGAGCTGGACTACTTTAAAAAATATATGTTTTTATTAATTTTAGAGAGAGAGGAAGTGAGAGGGAGAAAAACACTGACCTGCTGCCTCCTGCATGCCCCCTACTGGAGATCCAGCTGCAACCTGGGCATGTGCCCTGACCAGGAATTGAACCATCGACTTCTTGATGCATGGGTTGACACTCAACCACTGAGCCACACCAGCCGGGTGAAACAACTGTTCTTAACAGTTCCTTAGTATTTCTCTGGGGTTAGTCTTACACATAAACAAGCATAATTGTTTGTGTGTGTATATACAGGGTGGGGCAAAAGTAGGTTTACAGTCATATGGAAAATAATATAATAATTAATGAATAATAACACAAGAATAAACTCTGTTTTGTGTACTCACAACTATAAACCTACTTTTGCCCCACCCTGTATAGTATATTCACATGTTCATATGTACATATGTATATCTTTCCCCCAAAATGTTTTAGTAGCTACCCAAATGGAGCAAAGTACAACTCTAAGATGACCAGTCAGTTTCAATCATCAATGCCTGTTATGAAGGGACATTACTAAAATTTCCAAATGAGTTCAATTTTCAAAAATCATCAATGCACTTCTCCACAGCATAGAACATATTTATGAAATGTTAGTTAATACTATATTTAAAATTACTTCATGTCATAGTAATTAAGTATTATCAGGAATGTGCAACTGAAATTAACAAGGGCAACATGAAACTTGCCCCAAGATAGTGTGCACTCATTCAACATTCCCTATTTGGTGGCAAGTACCATGTCCTATATATCTACTCCAAGGATTCTATTCTTCCAATTATCTGAAACAACAGTTATTGATGGTTAATGAGACACACAGGAAGAAATAATTTCTTCATGTCCTAAATTGCCTCACAATCTCTAGGGTCCATGTACTAATAGTTCCCTAAAGTGATTTGGAAGAGTTAAGAAGTCCCTTAAGGACTTCAGTGCCTGGAAATGACAGGCACAAGAGAATATCTAGCTCACCCAGGGATCTTCTATATGAGGCTTACAAAGGGATTATTAAAGCAACTACTGTATTCTTCCTGAAGAAGAAAAATAAACTCATGTCCTATAGGGATCTAAAGGCTTGCTAGAACTATTACACCCAATTTTTATAACTTAAAGGTAGCATATCAACTTCTCTGACTCACTATTGTTCTTCATACATTTAAGCTTGTGGAACCATTATGTCTCAATATTTTATTTGGAAAATATGGTCAAAGGTCATACAGGGGTCCTAAGTAAGAAAAGGCAAAGGAAGACCAAACAACTACAACATGTTACAAACTGACTTTCACTACAACCTGGTTTTGGAAGGTTAGAATAAACACTCTGTAGTGTTTAGAGCAGCGGTTCTCAACCTGTGGGTCCCGACCCCTTTGGGGGTCGAAAGACTCTTTCACAGGGGTCGCCTAAGACCATAGGAAAACACATATTTCTGATGGCGATTCATAACGGTAGCAAAATTATGAAGTAGCAACAAAAATAATTTTATGGTTGGGGGTCACCACAACATGAGGAACTGTATTAAAGGGTCGCGGCATTAGGAAGGTTGAGAACCATTGATTTAGAGTGTTTAAACACTTTCTTGTTCAATGGTCATCCAATTTTTTTGATCATGCATCCCTGGTAATAAAATATTTTTAAGCCCACATCCCCAAATATAGTATTTACCTACATATGTGTGTATATATATATATATATATATGTGTGTGTGTGTGTGTGTATAAATATATATATATACACGCACTAATACATAACATTATAAAATATATGCAAAATTTTAAAATTAAAAATATGAGAAAATTACTTGACATTAAAAATGTATTTATTGATACAAAAACCTTTTTTGTCATTAAAACTTATTTTAACAATATATTTTTAGTGAAAGTAATGTAAATTGAATTTTTAAAAAGAATCTTGGTTTAGTACTTTTGCTATATATCAAGTATTATTCCTCCTGTAGAGATGATAAAACTGAACTTTGAGAGATTATGTAATCTGACAATGTCAGAGCTATAACGTGGCAGAACTAAGATGCAAACCCCCATCTTTCTAACTCTAAAACCAGTGTTCTTAACCAATATATTATGAAAAAGGAAGCAATCAGAGGAAACCAACTTATACTAAAGTGAGACACATAGAAACAATTTCCCTGTGTCCTAAATGGCCTCAGAACCTCTTGGTCCATGTACTAAACAGTCCCCTAAAGTGATTTGAAAGAGGCAGAGAATTAATCCTTCTGACCAATCTAAATATTATTTCCTTATCTGATTCGTTTTTTTTTTTTTTTACTCTTGTTAATATGATCAGTTATAGTCTCTCTATGACTCTGGGTAAGTCACTTAACTTATTTGAATCTTAGTTTCCAAATACATAAATTGAGGGTTTTGGACTAGGTCATCTTTAAGGTACTTTCAGTATTAAAATGCTAGTACTTTAGGCAGAGCACAGAGGATTTTTAGGGCAGTGAAACAACTCTTTATGATACAATAATGGTGGATACATGTCATTATAGATCTGTCCACATCCATAGACTGTACAATGTCAAGAGTGAATCCTAATGTAAACTGCAGACTTTGAATGGTAATGCTTCTAGGTAGGTTCATCAGTTGTATCACTCAGATAGGGAATGTTGACACTAGGGGAGGCTGTGCATGTGTGGAAGCAGGGGGTGTATATGGGAAATTTCTGTACCTTCTGTTCAATATTGCGCTGAACCTAAAACTACTCTAAAAAATAAAGTCTATTAAAAAATTCTAGGATTTAATACAACAGCAAATAAGGCATACATCTCTTAAGCAGAAAAACCAGACCTTTGCTGATCTCCACATTAGGCAGGTTGAAGATATCAAGGTCCATCATCCCTCCTTTAGTCCCCTCTGAGAGGTCTAAGAGGACAAGTCTGTCTGCAATGCCCTGTATAGTATAGTAAGAAAAAGAACAGCATTACATTGGACATGTCCAGTTACTCAATTTAAATTCATTCAGAAGTGAGGGCTAAGGGAGAATACACAGGCTTCATTTGCTGTCTTATGAAGCAAAAGTAACACAATAATAATAAAGGGGATATGCAAGCAAGAAATTATTATGCACTTGAATAATATGATCCTTTAGGCTTGATTGAAAACTGGGACCTAACAGGGGTTAGAGCAGAAGTCACAGATTGCAGGTTTATTTTGGTGGGACGACTAATAAATATGGCTTGGTGCATTCAATATGTTTGCTATTGTTCTTGAGTTTATGCTTTCATTTTCATGTTGTAACTTATATTCTGAAAGAATTTAGAGTAATTTTTTAGTTTACTTTAGCACCTCATTTCTAGCATAAAAGTCAACACTAATGCCAAATTTCTCTTAAAGAAAAAAAAGGATAATAGCCATAGATCTAAAATACAATTATCATGTGGCACTCTCCCCAGAGAGCTCATGGACAATATCTCCACATGCCTGTAGATGGCTCCTTGGGTGCCATGGTGGGCTGACTGTACATGACAACATGGACTATCCTAAAAGTCAAATTACCTTGGAAGGTCTTTTTCCAAAGTAGTAAGGGATCTAAGGATCTCTCCTGTCTTAGAGTACAGAGGCAAGAGTACTCAGAGATCTACCAGACTGTAGGGAAGAAAGTGTAGAAGTTAAGAAAACAACCCAGCTGCCCTGGCCGGTTTGGCTCAGCAGTTAGAGCATCGGCCCACATACCAAAGAGTCCCGGGTTCGATTCCAGCCAAGGGCACATACCAAGGTTGCAGTTTGTCCCCGGCCCCGGTTGGGGTCGTGCGGATGGCAACCAATTGATGTGTCTCTCTCACATCGATGTTTCTCTCTCTCCTTCCACTCTGTCTAAAGATAAATGTAAAAATGTCCTTGGTTGAGGATTAAAAAAAAAAAAAAAAAACAACCCAGCTGTACTACTTATTAGCTCTGTAATGCTGGGCAAGTCACTGAACTTGACCTTACTTCATGGGTTGTAAGGATTAATTATGTGACACAGGGCTGGCAGAGAGCAGTCCTCTCTAAATTATATCTATTAATTTTATTATTGTAACCACACAGGAGAAATGCAAAGAACATGAGTTACCATTTTTCATTTATCAGACATGCAAACATTCAAAAGTTTAACAACTGTGAAAAACAGGTATTTACATATACTGTAGGTATGAGAATAAACTGGTATAGTTTACATAGGAGATAATTTGACAATTTCTATCAAAATTTAAAAAATAACTCCTTTAATCCATCCATCCTTTAATCCTCATTTGTATAAATTATCCTACAAGTTTATTAGTACATATAAGATAATGATACAATATGTGTAAGCATAAGGATATTCAAAAGATTAGAGGTAGCATTTGAGATCTTGCTTCCAGAACATGTTGCCTCCTTGGCTCAAAGAAACTCATAAGAAAAACAAAAAACAAACAAACAAACAAAACTAGAAATTACCTAAATGTCCATCAATAATAACAATAATAACGAAGCAGTATAACACAGTGATTTGGAGCAGAGCTTCTCAAGATTTAAGGGATCACATTTAACAGATCAGTGAAGCACACGGATCACCCCTTGGTTTTGTTAAAATGCCGATTTCTACCATAGGTCTGGAGTGGGACCTGAGATTATGCACTTATAATAATATCTCAGGTGATGTCAATGCTGCTGATCTGAAACCACACGTGAGTAGTAAGGATCTAGAATATAGGTTCTATAAATTTGTCCAGCTTCAAATCCCCACTCCTTTTATTAACAGTGTGACTTTGGGCAAGTTGGGTAACCTCCCCATGCCCTGGTTTCTTCATTTGTAAAACAGCAGTAATGATGGTATCTAAGCCACAGGTTTCTGTAAAAATGAGTCATGTTTAGATGAGTACCTGACACCTAGTTAAGCATTCAGTAAAGGTCAGTTACTGCTGCTACTATCACTACTACATACTACTGTCACTACTATGGCTACTGTTGTTGTATTTGAATATTGTTACCTTGTACCAAAATATTAATGTTTAATAAGAAAAATGGAAAATATTTTCCATCTAGACAGTGCACAAAGAAATACTGACAGTGAGACTCTTCTAACAGCTAAAGAAACATGGCTTTAAGAGGCCTTTTCTTTGTTTTAACAAAAAAAAGGAAACTGATAAAATTTAGTACTATTAAGGATGTCAAAAATCTGGTTGATGTGCACATTTTTATTAGCAGCATAAATTAGTTTTCCCTTTTTGAAGAGCAATGCTGCAATATGTAATAAGTGCCATAAAACCCATCCATGCCCTCTGACTCACTAGTACTATTTTTGAGATTATGCACACCTAAACAAAATGCAGATGAGAAAATAAGCAATTTGTAAAGCAATGTTTATAGAAACATTCTATTTAGTAACAAAAGAACTGAAAACAATTTCAATTCCAATTAAGAGGGAACACTATATCCTGATGGAGTTAGCATATATTGTTCTGAGCAGCCAGCCTTAAAATTTTCTAGCTCCCTGGATACAATTTAATTATTTGCTGAAGTAGAACCTACCTCCAAGACATATATATGAGTCTTTTTAAAAAAATATGTTTTTATTGATTTTTTTTGAGAGAGAGAGACAGAAACATCGACAGATGTGAGAGAGAAGCATTGATGGGCTGCGTCCTGCACACCCTCTACGGGGGATCGAGCCCGAAACCCCGGGCACGTGCCCTGACTAAGAATCAAATAGGGACCTCTCAGTACATGGGACGATGCTCAATCCACTGAGGCATACCGGCTGGGTTATGTGAGTCTTAAATGGAAGAAATTAGATGGGAAGGAAAGGGAAAAATCTAGACAGGCAAACAATAAAATTTTAATAGACTAGAAAACTAAATGCCAGCTACCAAATAAATTATAAAGGAAGAGTTATTCTATTCTGGGCTATATCCCTCAAATGACATAGACATGCTGTTACCATGATATTGGGCCCTGGATATCTTTTGAACCACTCTGGAAAGGAATTTAAATACCTTTCTGAAAATAATTTATGTAGATAAGATTTGTAAAAAGGACTGATAAAAAATAAACAAATCTCAAATTATCAACTCAGGAACTACGATCCTAAAAGAAAGCAGAGTTGCCCAGCCGGTGTGGCTCAGTGGATTGAGCATTGTTCCATGGGCTAAGAGATCCTAGTTTGATTCCCCATTAGGGCACAGCCCGGGTTGCGGGCTCGATCCCCAGTTGGGGGCGTGCAGGAAGAAGGTGATGGAGGTTTCTTTCTCACATCAATGTTTTGATCTCTCTCTCCCTTCCTCTCTCTAAAAAATCAATGAAAACAAAACAAAATAAAAGCAGAGTGAATTACAAAAGAAAACCTTAAAAATTCTAATTTTAGAAAGAGCTAAAAAGTTATTAAATAAGAGTTTAATTAAAGTAGCATGACTCAGGAAACAAAAGAATTTGTGATGAAGTCAGATGAATATCAAGTTGAGGTTACCCTTGAATTAGGTTGATGAGCTCATTATTCAAACCACTTTTTCAAAGCCTATTCCATGACTAACTACTAATTAAGAGGCAACATTACTAATGAAAGCTTTCAGCTTATTTTTTTTTAAATCAACTAATTAAATATATTTTAAGGCAAAATGAGGCTTTCCCACATGATAAAATTAAGCCTTCATTTCCTGTGCGTTAAACATAAACTACCTAAAAGTACAGCAATATGAACCCTGGCCAGTTTTGCTCAGTGGTTAGAGCGTCAGCCTGCAGTCCAGAGAGACCCAGTTCGGTTCCCGCTAAGGGAGCATACCTCGGTTGCAGTTTGTCCCCGGCCCTGGTTGGTTGTGCGGGTGGCAGCCACTCCATGTGTCCCTTTCACGTCGATGTTTCTCTCTCTCTCCCTCCCACTCTATCTGAACAAAAAATGGAAAAATGTCCTAGGGTGAGGATAAAAAAAAAAATAGTACAGCAATATGATATATGTATTTATAATCATCATGCTTACCTACCTTTGCTGAAATTGCTAATGTGCAGGCAACTCCCAGTTCACCACCTCCAACCACAGTAATTTTCTTTATTGTTTTATTCTCATGATTTGCCCAGTTCTTTGAATTTATGTCTGAGACACCTAGAAAGAAAAGTGAATGATTATGACAATTAAAAAATAATATAAAAAATCTTTTTAGCATCTTTCAAAAAAATATACCAAGCTTTAATAACCTGGACAGAAAACATGGTGCTAGTCCATAACAGGCAGTTAAAAATACTTGCTGAATAAATGGAATGCTGGAAAGAAGGAATCTCATATTAAATATTCCACTAAATAAAGGCTACCCTTTTAAAAAGAAAATATCTTTCTAAACATTTAAAAAATATTATATAAGACAAAAAAAAGGATTACCATAATTCCAAAAAACATTCTGATTCTTACTGTTCTGGTCTAAAATACAAAAAATATTTAACACCTTACAAAATTTTGCAAGCATGGGTTGTTTTGCTTAATACTTAATGAGAAATAGTGAAAATCACAGACTTTCTGGCCCAATATATTGATATGAGGCAAAAAGCCACATAAACATATAATAATAAAAGTTTGTTAATACAGGGGATGACAAACATAGGTTTACAGTTGTGAGTGAAACACAGAGTTTATTCTTGTATTATTTATTTATTTATTAATTATTGTATTACTTTTCTTTTTATTATTATTGTTATTATTTTGTATTCTTACTTATCATTTATCTTTTAGGTAATAATGGATGGTAATTTAGCCTACTTTTGCCCACTCCTGCATATATCAAATGGTTTTGAACAAAACATAAATTGTTTTATTCTCTGTATGAGAGTAATCTTTTACATTTAAAAAAATCCTCACTTGAAGATATGTTTTATTGATTTTTTTAAAAAACATTTTTTTATTGATTTTTAGAGAAAAAGGAAGGGAGAGGGAGAAAGAAACATTGATGTAAGAGCAAAACATTGATCAGCTGCCTCCTGCATGATCCTTCCCAGGATTGAACCTTCGACCTGGGCATGTGTCCCCACTGGGGAACTGAATGGGCAACCCTTCCATGCACAGGATGCTGCCCAACCAATGAGCCACACCAGCCAGGGCTGTTTTTATTGATTTTTAGAGAGAGAGGAAGGGAGAGAGAGAAACATTAATCAGTTGCTTCCCATACATGCCCCAACTGGGGATTGAAACCTAGTTATGTGCCCTGACTGAGAATTGGACCTTTGACCTTTTAGTTTATGGGATGATGGTCCAACCAATTGAGCCACACTGGTCAGGTCTAATCTTTTACATTTTAAGAAATCATTGGAAATGTATGGTAGGTAATACTTACCTACTTATGACAGATGTACATGTATTTAGTTATAAAAATAAAGGCTATTAGTGAAAAGTTATAAACTCATAACTCTGATTAACGAAAATACAAACCTTCAGTGATTTTTGCGATATAGGCTAGCAAGTCCGCCTGCCTTGCCTCATCAGATGATGATAGAGAATATAGGGGAAGTTCCTCTTGAAACTTGTCAATCATTTCTTTAATTAATCCTACAATGACAGATTTAGGCTGCAGAATACACACAAAGGGAAGAGTTATGCAAACATTTTGCTAACAAATACTACCTTGTTAATCTATACATCATTATAGTTAGCCAAAACAAAGTATTATATTATGTTCTCATTTTTTGAAAACTACCATAGAAATTATGAGATACCTTCAACTATTTTAATATTTTTGACTAAAAAATTACTTAATTCTTTTAACTGAAAAATGAAGGGAGACATGCTAAATCCACATTTCTAAAATGTGGGGAAATAACATGCACGTGCTTATGACTGGGAGCGGTCTTTGTTTTACTTTTTATTTTGAAATAATTGCAAACAAAAAAGTTGCAAAAATAGGATAAAGAATTTGTATTCTATATACTCCCCACCCAGACCACAATTTTATCACATTTGCTCTTTCCATCTCTATATTTTTCTGAACTGAGAGTAAACTGAAGATATGATACCTCTTCATCCCTAAATACTGAGGCATAGCGTGAAGACATAAAATGAAGACAGCGTAGTCAAGCTGCTAAATTACTAAAATAAAGTAGGTTAAGGCATGAGAAATTGATTCTATTCTTGTTTTAATGAGCCTGGAAATTTAAACTTTTGAACTTTCTAGTCCTGTGTCAATGCCTGGATATATACCAAACGGCCAGATAACCCTCTGATTACTTGCTAAAGGACTAAGGAAAGAATGGTCATGTACCCAGACTACCTGTCATTCAGACCACTGGTCATCTAAAATATTACCATCTTGGACCTATCCAGAGGCTAAGAAAGCAGGACTGATTCTTCTCAACAATGTACTTTTAGCCCTGGCCAGTTTGGCTCAGCGGTTAGAGTGTTGATCTGTGGTCCAGAGAGACCTGGGTTTGGTTCCCACTAAGGGCATGTACCTTGGTTGCAGTTTGTCCCTGGCCCTGGTTGGTCGTGTGGGTGGCAGCCACTCAATGTGTTCCTTTCACGTCGATGTTTCTCTCTGTCTCTCTCTCTCCCTCTCTCTCCCTCCCACTCTATCTGAACAAAAAATTGAAAAATGTCCTCAGGTGAGGATAAAAAAAAAAGAAGGTACTTTTTAAAAAAAATTTTTTTTCCTTTATTGATTTTTAGAGAGAGAGGAAGTGAGGAGAGAGACCTACACACATTGATGAGAGAGAACATCGATTGGTCACCTCCTGCATACCCCCCACTGGGGGTTTGGCCCACAACCTGGGTATGTATCCTGACTGGGAATCGAACTGGCAACCTCTTGGTGCATGGGTCGACACTCAACCACTGAGCCACACTGGCTGGACAAAAGAATGTACTTTTTACTATAAGAATTTAGCTTTTCTTTCTTTTTTAGAATACTCTGGGTATTGCCTAGCTATGTTTCCATTTTGCAAACCCACTAACACCTTGAATAAATCTTAATCATTTACTTCTAGCCAAAGCCTTCAGACTCTTTTTTAGTTCATTCAATGATCTTATAATGTATATTTCCCAAAAGAAAAACAGACATTTTAAAATCATTATCAAATCAGAAAATTAACATCGATCAAATATTATCTAATCTGGTACTGTTTCTTTTCATTTAACTGGTTAAGCAACCTTAGTGAAATTTATTTAACCTGTCTCAGCTTCAATGTTATCAATGATATAATGTAAACAATAAATCCCAAGTGGCTGATATGAGAAACAAATGAGCCAAACTATACACCCTGAATATAAAATTGATGTTTAGTATTATTATTGTTAGGAATATTTAGTAGTTTGCTCATTTAAAAATGGGCTGAATTTCTCAGTGTTTGGGTTTCATTATTTATAAACTAAGAGGATGAGGCCATTAGGATAAAAAACTCAAACACCTTTAAAGACCAAGCAGACAACACAATGTATGAAGTTGTCAAGGATAAGAAAATTTGGGGAGACGGTTAGCGGCAGATTGAAAAGAATACATGTATAGGCATTCAAATTCATATTAAGAACAAAACAAAACTACTGTGCCATTCAAATAAAATTCTATAGGCCTAATACAGTACACTGGATCTCTTGAGGAAAACATCTGTAATCCTGAAAACATCTGTAAGCCTAGACAACCTCTAGATTCTTTCTAGCTCCAAAATTCCATATAATTATACTACATAATTATAATTCCAATTGCATGTGGAACTTATATTTACTGTAGTTAATTTTAAATAGGGCAATTTAAATAACATAATGTGTTTGTTTTTTTTATCCTCACCCGAGGACATTTTTTGCATTCATCTTCAGACAGAGCAGGAGGGAGACAGGGAGGAAGAGAGAGAGAGAGAAAAACATCAATGTGAGAGAGACTGGTTGCCACCCACACGACCCCGGGGACAAACTGCAACTGAGGTACGTGCCCTTAGTGGGAACTGAACCCGGGTCTCTCTGATCCGTGGGCCAACACTCTAACCACTGAGCAAACCGGCCAGGGTGGTAATGTCTTCTTAAGACTAGTTTTAGCTTATAAGAAAGAAGTTCAGAATAGCAAAATAAAGTTAATACTGTCTGAACTGAAATCAAGCAATACCTCAACTAGATTATAGGATTATTTCTGAGTATTTATTAAACAAGCAAACAAATAAAACTATGAAAAGAGATACCAAAGAAAATGAGAAAGAAAAAATATAGGAAGTATGAATTCCCACAACAGGGCACAGATGTAAAAATATCTTTTGACTTTTGAGGACAGTCAAAAAAAAAAAGAAAAGAATAAAAAGAAGGGTAAAATGGATGAAGGAGATAGACAAAAAAGGAGAAAAATATATGATCAATAGAAAATTTAAAAAAAATTTATTTCTTTTTAGCCAAAGAACTAAGCATAAGATTAAGACAGCATTTTTGTCCTTATAATGGACTAATTTTTACCAAGATCCATTCATAACATTTAACTGAAAATCTTATTTAAATCACCAAGTAATACAAATAATATACAAGTTCATAAAATAAAAGGTCAGTGTTTTTCCACCTAAACTTCATTACCGACAATCTGGTATAAATTCTTTCTTTTACTATTTCTCTTTTTTCCTCCTTTTTAAAGGTTTTATATATATTAAGAATATAGAAACCATAAAGAAATTAAAATGTATCCACAAATGCACATCTTTTTATAGGATATATATAAAATAAGAAGTGATAATCCTAACGCCATCCTTTATGGCAAACTCACTTGACTCCATATATCCCTGACCTCCTATTCTGCAACTTTCTGGGAACATATAAAGATATTATAGCCCGGCTGGGTTGGCTCAGTGGTTGAACATGGATCCATGCACCAACAGGTCACCGGTTCCATTCCCAGTCAGGGCACATGCCCAGGTTATGGGCCAAATTCCCAGTGCGGGGCATGCAAGAGGTGGCCAATCGATGTTTTCTCTCATCAATGTTTTTTCTCATCAATGTTTCTATCTCTCCCTCCCTCTTCTTTCCTCTCTAAAATCAAGAGAGAAAAAAGAAGTAAAAAAAAAAAAAAGATATTATAAATTATCTTTTCATAAATATTTTAATTACTTATAAAAATGAGAACATTTAAAAATAAATGTAAAGAGATAAGCAAAGATTTATTTTATTTTATAATACCTTCTGTTAGAGCAAAGGGTGCTATAAAATAGGTACTGCCTACACTGATTTCAACTGATGGTAGATATGCAGCATTCTGCCTATCTCTTGGAAGCCGATTTGGCAATAGGTAAGAATAGCCTTCAAAATATTTATAACCTTTGCCTGACCAGTGTGGCTCAGTGGTTGAGTGTTGACTCATGCACCAAGAGGTCGCCAGTTCGATTTCCGGTCAGGGCACACTGCCCAGGTTGTGGGCCCGATCCCCAGTGGGGGCATGCTGGCCTCGGCCAATCGATGTTCTCTCTCATCGATGTTTCTCTCTCTCTCTCTCCCTCTGCCTTCCTCTCTCTCTAAAATCAATAAAGAAAAAGTATTTTAAAAAATATTTATAACTTTTGATCCAATTATTCCATTCCTAGAGATTTATATCATTGCTTGATATAATGGTAGATAAAAAATGCAGAATATGCCCTGGCCGGTTTGGTTCAGCAGTTAGAGCATTGGCCTGTGGACCTAAGAGTCATGGGTTCAATTCTGGTCAAGGGCACATACCTCAGATGCGATTTGGTACCCTGCCCTGGTCAGAGTCATGCAGGAGACAACCAATCAATGTGTCTCACATCGATGTTTCTCTCTCTCTCTTTCTCTCTCCCTCTGTCCCTCCTACTCTATCTGAAGATAAATGGAAAAATATCCTTGGGTGAGGATTAAATAAAGAAAAGAAAAATTCAGAATACAAAACTGCATGATGTGAGGATTTGTAAAACAAGTAAATTACAGTTATAACGTGGGTGAATTAAAAAATGTTAATGCTCAGTTAAAACAAAGCACATAACGGATTATATAAATATACTAAAGGTCACAAACCCGCAAAACTACAAATAAATACATATATTACATAAGAATCTTTAATAGAGAGGGACTAGGAAATGATGCCCAATATCTTGCTAGTAGCTTTACCAAGCAGCAAAAGATAAGGAGCAAACAACAGTTGGCTCCTAGACTCAAAGAGAGCAGCTTCAGGCAGGCTGCTGTCATCAGGGTTCCGGGACTCAGCTGACCCCTGACAGCTTCATTTCAAACTAAAATTTAGTAACTTATTTGTTACTTTGATTCACTAGAATCAAAGATAAATATTCAGAAAAATATTCAAAGAAAATCCAAATTGGTCTTACATGGCTCCAGTTTTGGAGGTAGGGCAAGTATATTCTGCCTTGAGCATCCACGTGTTTTCCAACTGAGATTCCCATATTTGCAGTTGGCTTTAAGAAGCAAATGGGGGGAGCAAAAGGGTGAGAATCCAAAATCCACAAACGAATTGGTATGTTATATGTATTACCTATTTGAGACAAAATAAACACACTTCAAAAAATAATAAGACATGCACATTTACGGTATAGCTAGATGGCATTTTAAAATGTGTAGTCAAGTTTATATATAAAAAATTTATGTAAATCAAGGCCCATTTTCCCCATTTCATCTACATTAACATTGGAAATATGTTCTCATTAAATCACCAGCATAACGTTTGAAGAAATTTAATTAAGACATCCAATTCAATTCAATAAATATTTACAAGATCTATTGTATCAGGAGTTTGAGATACTTCATTTTCTCTATGTAATCTTCTTTGCTCCACCCAAGCAGAGCTACTGTACTTTTCTTGAATAGTAGTGGGCATTTATATTTTTATAGTTCTTCTGCACTGAAGTTATTTACTTACAGTTGTTCCTCCTTTTATACTGTAAACTTCTTCCTAAGAGAGGATTATATATTATTCATTTCTATATCCCCTGCACCATATATAGTGCCTAACATACTGCTTGCTCAATAAAAGTTTCTTATGTAATTAAGAATGACTGAATAATAAACAAATAAAAAAATAAGTGAATGAGTAAAGATGAATTTGATACTGGCCTCCTAGTTGCTCACTAATTGCAGGTACTATAGCATACAAGAAGTTAGTTTTGATACATAGAACTTAGAGCTGAAAATAACCTTCATAGTTACCTTGTCCAGAGGCTCTTAAATTTTAGTGTACTGAGATAGGAAGTTGTGTGCATACTCTTCCAATTGTATGTCATGCCTACAGAGGGCCAAAATGTGACTGCCTTGGTTGCCAGGAAGCTCAAAGCTAAACCTAATGTAAGTATAAAAACTAAATTTAGCCCGGCTGGTGTGGCTCAGTGGTGTTTTTCAAATCACACTATATAAGCAACCTCTTGCGATACTGGTCTTAAAGGTTAGCCCTCTTAAATATTGGAGGAAGTAGGTCTGGACAAATAGGAAGAGTTGTGTATAGGGAAGTTAGTGATTTATTTTTTTCTTTTTGGGAAAACGTCCAACTATTTTAACCTGTCAGGTCACCGAAAATGTGTTGCTTTTTTGAGCTTTAATGACCCCTGTGTTTTAAAGTTTTCCTATTGGGAGCTTGAAGTTCTAGCCTGATAACAGATGTGTAGTCTTAGGTAAATCACTTGACTAGGCTTAGTTTCAGTTTCACCTATAGAATGGGGATAATGCTACATCACATAGAGGAAAAGGAAAAGAAACTCTCCATTGATATAATGAAGAAAATGGTGGAGATTCCTAGTCCACTATGGAAAACAGAGATAACTCTCCACCAGACCAAGCCTATGTCTGTCTTGCTCTCCTCTGAACCCCAGCACCTAGCAGAGTAGTGGGCACATAGCTGACATTTAATAAATATTTACTGAATTGAACTGAGTATGTTGATATTAATCTAGGCCTTCCATGACAGAGAGCATAATCTGCTATATTCAATAAGGTTCTGTAAAGAACATATACACATCAAAACACTTTGAGACTATTATGGCACTAAATAAAGTTCTTATTAAACTGCTCTTTTAGAAAATTCCCCAAATTTCTCGACTTCCACACTTACCCTGATACATCACAGGAAGAGTACCGGTGAAATTCAGCAAGTCTTTCTGGGAACTATCTTTGAAAACTGAAAGGAAAAAAAAGCCTCAAAATGTGCAATCAAAGTAGGAAGAGGAGTCCAAGTCAACTCAATGGCAGGTAACAAATATGCACATATACATATACAGAAACACATAATTTCTAAATACCATCATCTAGGAATCAGTAAAAATGTTGACAAAGGAAAATTACTAGATTTTTTTTTCTAGAAAGCAGAGCAGGTAGGTGAAAGATCATAGGCTTTGATACTGAAATCCCAAGTTGTAGGCCCACCTTCCCCACTTAGAAGCATGTGACTTTTGGTTAATCTCTTTGACCTTCAGTTTGATCATCTATAAAATAAAGATAATAAGAGTGCATCACAAAATTGTCATAAGGATCTAATGAGATAATGTGTAAACAAGTAAAGGATTATAAAATGTGGGACCATTATCAAATAATTGTCATGTAACAAATCAGTCACAATCACTTTCAGAAATCAAATTGTAACTTTTATAATAAGAAAAAATGTTAGTTTTATTTTTGAAAGTGACCTTTTAGAAAGATCATAATTACCTTCTTTGGTTTCCCTAACACCATTATTCTCAGTCTTTACTCAGTCTTCACATCCCTGAAATTTCAATTTACCCATCAATATCTGGGATACACTGATGGAGAACTAATGCCCTAATTTCTGAACTGAATACAGAAAAAACTACCTTTGGTTTCAAACTTGGAATGTAGTCCTTGGAATGTAGTCCTTTTAGTACCTCAGTAACTATACTATTTAGGCAGTGGAAGAAAAAATTCCAAGTAGATTTGATTATCTATTAGAAAGGGAAAAGAGAAAACCAAGTTGTCAGAAAACTCAAGGCCAAGGGTATATACATTAGTACAAATGTTTACCTTGAACTATATAAATAAAAGGTAACCATGGGTGAAGAGATCACTCCATGGCAAAAATTAAAATGGAAAGAGATGTGGAACAGGGACTGTTTCTCAGGGACACAGAATAAGCTAGACATGTGGTAGAGAAACTATAGGTGTAAATATTTATTATCCAATCAAATTATTCAAAAAGCCAAAATAAAAGTAATTAAGATGCATGATTATCATTGTCTTCAACAATAAAATGTACATTGACAACATAACTCCTATAGCTTGAGGGTCTAATGGCACCCTTGCTCACTTTCTCTAGATAGGAAAAATGAGAATAAGAACTGACTGGTATAATAAATCTATATAATGAAGAAACACATTATAAAAGGATAAACAGTACTCAAGAAGATGGCAAGACAGACATGGGTACAAACCCCAACTCTATCCCTAACTAGCTTTGTAATCTTGAGCAATTTATTTAAACTCTCTGAGCCTTGATTTCTTTATCTGAAAAATGAAAATGATAATACTTACTTCACAGCTTTGGTTATAAAAAAAATGTCAGATAACATAGATAAAACATTTGGAAGCACATCTGGCATTCAATAAGTAATAGCTGTTACATCCTCTACCCCAGGCACTTATGCAACACCAAACAACTAGGTGCCAATCAAAAGAGGCTAGTCACTGCCCAGCTGATGTGGTTCAGTGGACTGAGCATCATTCCATGGACTGAGAGGTCCCAGATTAACTCCCAGTCAGGGCACATGCCCTTGTTGCAGGCTTGATCCACGGGAAGGGGCGTGCAGGAGGCAGCCGATTGATGTTTCTCTCTCACATCGATATTTCTCTCTCTCCTTTCCTCTCTCTAAAAAATCAGTAAAAACATATTAAAAAAATAAGAGGCCAGTCACAGATGGGCCAGACTCTAATAATTTCTTCCACATATAAAATTAGCTATTCCTAAGAAACATTTCGATAACTCCACAAAATTTCTAATATATAAATCTGAATTAGATACATTTTCTTAACCTAAACTAATTCAAATATAAAATATACCACTGTATTAGAAATCAGTTTTTCAAAACTGTATTGACTAATTCATGGGTCCTAAAATTAATTTAGTGAGTCTCAATTAGCATTTGTTTGTAAATGGAATGCAATGAGTAGAAGAGAAAATGCCAGAGTGTCCAAAGTATTTTAGTTACGTAATATATGGGGTCATGACACAAAATGTACTTCCAAGTATGGGTTGTGGTCAGAAAATTTTGAAAGACAGTAAAGTAAAATCTTTCTTAGGTAGCCACACTCTATAATAAGTAAATAAGATAACTAAGACTTTGTTACTAATAATTTCGAACCAACCATAAACAATATGTGGTAGGCAGAATAATGGCCTCCAAAGATATCCAATACCCTAATCCTTAGAACCTGTGAATATGTTAACCTTACTTGGCAAAGAGGCTCTGTAGATGTAATTGAGTTAAGGACCCTGAGATAGGAAATTATTCTGTATTATTACAGTGGACCTAATCACATGGGTCCTTAAAAGCAGAGAACCTGCCCTGGCCGGTTTTGCTCAGCGGTTAGAGAGTCGGCCTGTGGTCCAGAGAGACCCGGGTTCGGTTCCCGCTAAGGGCATGTACCTCGGTTGCAGTTTGTCCCTGGCCCTGGTGGGGTTGTGTGGGTGGCAACCACTCGATGTGTCTCTCTCTCTCTCCCTCCCACTCTATCTGAACAAAAAATTGAAAAATGTCCTCGAGTGAGGATAAAAAAAAAATCAGAGAACCTTTTCTGGCTATGGGTAGAGGGAGGTCTGACTACAGAAGGATGGTCAGAGAGATGCAACGTTGCTAGCTCTGAAGATGGAGGAAGGAGACCTGGAACCAAAGAATAAGGGTGACAGAAATCACACCTCCTTAAGTGTTACAACTGCACATAAAGCAAGGACTTAAATAAAATGTTATTATTAAAAAAAAAAAAAAGAATGAGGTTGACCTTTAGAAACTGAAAAAGGCAAGGAAATAGATTCTCTCCCAGAGATTCCAGAAAGGAGCTGAGACCTGCCAAAACCTTGATTTTAGCCCAAACTTCTAACCCACAGAGACCTGTGCTGGACTTCTGGCCTACAGAATTGTAAGATAGTATATATGTGTTGTTTTAAGTCATTAAATTTGAGCTAATTTGCTATGACAGCAATAGAAAATTAATACAATATAAAATGTATTAACTTAAATTTCCTCAGAAATCACAGGTTACAAAGTGTAGTTCAAAATCAGAGGATAAAAGAGAGAAATGAGAAATTATTCTTTTGTAGCTCTCTAGGAACAAATAATCAATAATTTATATAATGTAACAAAAACTAGAGAATATAATTCTTACCATAGGTGTCCATGGAATATCTGAAATGTGGGAAAAACATATTTACATTCTTTAGTTCTTCCACAGTTAGATCCCTGAACTTGTACTGAAAGAAAAAAATGAGCATGGAATAAGAATAAATCTACAGACAAAAGAACAATTACAATTAACTTTTAACTGAACACTTACTATGTAGTAGGCTCTGGGCTCTTGAGTTTTACAAACATGAATATTATTTGATTTCATCCTTTTAATAACAGCCCTATGAAGATGAAAATGAAAGCTAGAGAATCAAAATAACTTGCTGGCCCGGCCAGTGTGGCTCAGTGGTTGAGCACTGACTCATGCATCAAGAGGTTGCCAGTTTGATTCCTGGTCACAGCACATGCCCAGGCTGTGGGCCAGATCCCCAGTGGGGGGGCACGCAGGAGATGACCAATCAATGTTTTCTCTCATCAATGCTTCCATCTCTCTCTCTCTCTCTCTCTCTCTCCTTTCCACTCTAAAATCAATAAAGAACAAAAAATTATAAAAAACCCAGAGGCCCTGGCCAGTTTGGCTCAGCAGTTAGAGTGTCAGCCCACAGACCAGAGAGTCCTGGGTTTAGTTCCTGCTAAGGGCACGTACCTTGGTTGCAGTTCGTCCCTGGTCCCGATTGGGGTGATGTGGGTGGCAGCCACTTGATGTGTCTCTCTCACATCAATGTTTCTCTCTCTCTCTTCCTCCCCCTCTCTCTCCCACTCTATCAAGTGTCCTCGGGTAAGGATAAAAAATTAAATAAGTAGAAATAAAAAACCCCATAGAAAAACAAAAGAACCTGCTAAGTTAGACAGCAAGTGAAGTAGGGAAGCCAGAGCTCAAACCTAGGACCTGCACCTTTAAATCACTAAATCAAGTACCTCCTGAAGGCTTAAGAAGTAGGGCAGGATGTATCTATCACTCCTGTTACCACTGTTCAAGATCTGACTCTTATTCTTGAATACCTCATTCATTCATTTGAGACAGCTTGAATTTCCCTTCCAAAGCTCCTGGTACTGTATCTTAGGTTTCCAAGGGAGAATAGAAAGCATGCAAGGGTTTGCAATTAGGATGAGTGAACTGTCTCCTCATTCATTCAGATGCACTCCCAGAAACACTACCTTGGTGGCCCTGTGGGCAAAATCACTTAATTTCTTTGAACTTTTTTTATTTGCAAAGAGAAATAATACCCACCTTATAGACTTGTGCTGACGATTAAATAAAAGAAAAAGAAGTACGTTAAGAGTCTATTACCATTCTAAAAATGATTTTTGCCCTGGCTGGTTTGGCTCAGCGGTTAGAGCGCCGACCTGCGGTCCTGAGAGACCCGGGTTCGGTTCCCGCTAAGGGCATGTACCTCGGTTGCAGTTTGTCCCCGGCCCTGGTTGGTCGTGCGGGTGGCAGCCACTCGATGTGTTCCTTTCACATCGATGTTTCTCTCTCTCTCTCTGTTCCTCTCTCTCCCTCCCACTCTACCTGAACAAAAAAATGGGAAAATGTCCTCGGGTGAGGATTAAATAAATAAATAAATAGATAGATAGCCCTGGCCAGTTTGGCTCAGCGGTTAGAACGTCGGCCTGCGGTCCGCAGAGACCTGGGTTCAGTTCCCGCTAAGGGCATGTACTTCGGTTGCAGTTTGTCCCCGGCCCTGGTTGGTCGTGCGGGTGGCAGCCACTCAATCGATGTGTCCCTTTCACGTCGATGTTTCTCTCTCTCTCTTCCTTTTTCTCCCTCCCACTCTATCTGAACAAAAAATGGGAAAATGTCCTCGGGTGAGGATAAAAAAAAAATTAAAAGAATAAAGTACTTTGAAATAAATTTAACAAGATACAAAACTTAGACTCTAAAACCTATAAAACACTACTGAAATTAAAATAGGTATAAATAAATAGAAAGATATCCCTTGTTGATAAATCAGAAGACTTAATATTGTTAAGATGATAATACTCCCCAACAGATTCAATAATCAATAATCCTTATCAAAATCCCAGCTGTTTTTTTTTTTTTATTTGCAAATAATTTTTAAATGGTTCTTAAATTCATATGAAAACTCAAGGGGCCCAGAACAACCAAAACAATCTTAAAAAAGAACAAAAAAGTTAGGATTCATACTATAATCAAAAGACAGGCTATAATAGTAATATAAAAAAGACAAGACAATAACAAGTTTGGGAGAGGATGTGGAAAAATCAGAACTCTCATATACATATACCACTGCTGGTGGTAAAATGGTACAACTGCTTTGGAAAAGAGTCTGGCATATATTGAAAAGATTAAACACAGAATTACATTCAACCCAGAAATTCCACTATGAGGTATATATCCAAGAAAAACAAAAACATGTCCACACAAAATCTTGTGCACTTTTCATAGCAGCATTATTCATAACAGTCCCAAAGTGAAAACAATCCAAATGTTTATCAATTGATGAATGGATAAAATGTAATATATCCATAAAATGGAATATTCAGTCATGAAGAACTGATACATAATACAATGTGGATGAACCTTGAAAATAGGTTAAGTGAAAGAAACCAGACACAAAAGGCCACATATTGTATAATTTATAT